GTATGTTGAAGAAGCTTGGGGTTGGAATTGGAAAGGTTTGGAATGGATTGGAAATGAAAAAGGGAGGTTTTGTACAAAAACAGACAAAACCTTCCGGAAGGTCGATGAAAAACCTTCCGAAAGGTCGATGAAAAACCTTTCGGAAGGTTAAGGTAAAAGATTTAACTAGTAGGTAAAACCTTCCAGAAGGTCTCTGGAAAAGTTGGCCTAATAGGCAAACATTCCGAAAGGTCGATGACAAACCTTCCAGAAGGTTGATAAAAATGTTTGTCCAGAAGACAAACCTTTCGGAAGGGTTAAGGAAGATGATTGTCTAGTAGAAAAAACCTTTTGGAAGGTTGATGACAACCTTCTGGAAGGTTAATGAAAATGGTTTGTCAAATAGGCAAACCTTCTGAAAGGTCAACAAACAACCTTCCGGAAGGTCTTCGAAAAATCTGAAAATTTTAAGTCATGAATAGCCGGCTTTCCTTCACTATAAATACTTAAGGACAACCTCTTTAGCCCCATTTCAACACTCAAAACCCCCAGGAGACCTTAGAGAGGAGTAAAGGAAGAGAAAAACACAAGATCAAAGGGGATTTCAACTTCAAGAAGATCAAAATCTAGTCTTTTCAAGAACATCAAGGTTAGGGGTTTTCTTCCATTCTTGTCCTTTGATGCTAGAGGTAATATATATGTATTCTTTGACTTTAAATCTTATATATTTGCTATGAAATCACCTTTTCTTGGTTTTCTTGCAATTATTACCATGTTTTACACCAGATAGGGTTGAATACCCATGAAATCTCATTTTCTTGATATAAAACCCTAGTTTTCAAAAGAGATGGACTTTCTTCTTGATTCTTCCTTTGTTCTTGACTTAGAAATCTTTAGTGCTTTGAGTTGAGTACTAAAATGATGTTGATGATGATCTCTTGCATTTTCTTCACGTGCTCTATTGAAATACTACATGTGAAATTTGGGATTTATGGAATTGTGTGTTATTTGAGGAAATTGTTGGTATTGTATCTCTTGTGTGGTTGTTGGATAAACATGGGCTAATATTGACCAGGTATCTTGGAGTGTGTAGACGCCTTCTTACTCCGTGTGGGTTAGAACTTTTCTTATCACTCGTAATGGGGTAAGTGCCTTGCGAGGACTAAACCATTATCGCTTACGGGTTACCATGGAAAAAGGGGTTAGTATACTACTATTTGGTTGGATACGTCACTGTCATGGTGTTGGCATACGCCCTTCCTAAAGGTTGGATATCCTTGCGAGAATTTGTGTGGATTGTACGTGGGCCATGATATTTTTGATGGTATCTATCCGAGGTCTTACTTCATACCAGAGATATGAATACAATGGTGGTTTATTGTTTATTGTACCAGAAATAGTTTCTACAAGAATTTTGGGAAGTATGAGATTCCGCAAGAACTTGGGAGAAACGATTTATGGTGGAATGGATTATTAGTTGTATATTGTTTTCACTTATGCATTAAATTATTACTATTGCTTAAACTTGAGATCTATTTAAATGTCATGGCTTTCTTTCAAAATTCATATATGGTATTTGTGAAAGGTGACCGGCCATTTGTATATGCTTTTCTAAGCTTTGTTCGAGTTTGGGAGGAATTTTGCTACAGAGCTTAGTGTTCAACCCCCTACAAATTATATTTTTCAGATTATGTACTGAAGGAGGATTTGGGAATTGAGGAACCAGCACACCGGGGGATTCCTGTAGACGGGTAGGTTGATCCCGAGATGGGCGCTTAGAACAACGTTACTTTTTATTCTAGACTAGGAAATTTACTTTGGAAATATTGTGAAGTCTAGATTCTTTTGTAATTCCGTTGCGAGTTTATGTTTAATTATTTTGGGATGTAATTATCTGATGTTGGGATCATATTCTTTTGGAGATATATTCGTCATGTTTTGGCGTATTCTTTTGGGAATGAGATTGTAAAGATTATCTTTGATGTATGAAATTTCTTTATGGATGAATTATTTAGTTTCTCTCATGATGTGAATAGTTTTTAGTTTGTAATGCCGTCCAGGGTGGGTTTTGGGGCGTTACAACCTATTTATAATGGAAGCAAAGGAGCCAAAAACTAGACGTTTACAACTTTTAATGGATATATCCGGTATACCGGTTCAATTTAGGCCTCTAAAAATGGGAGATACTGGGAATAATTGAAGTATACCTATTCATCCAACCGGCATGCTGCATCCTTCATCCGGTATACGGGATCTTTGCTTTTCCATGAACTTCCAATGCTATTATGGTCCTCCAAACGTTCAAATTTGACGATGCCTATTTCAGAAAAAATTGTAGCCATTGATGTCTAGTTTTCAAACTCATTGGAATTAGGTCATTTGGACATTTTACTAGAGAGTTATGTCAAAAATAGTGAAATATGTCTGAAACTCTCCATTGTCATCCTTTAATGCATTAGCTCCAATTTCAGTGCCCTGCTTCACCTATAAGACATCCAAAATCTCAAAATTACTATTTCACACAACCTTGTAGATCTTGAAGTATTCTTTCCATCCACACTTGAACCAAGTCAATTGGACTTTTTTGTCAAAAGATATGCCATATTACCTAGAATATGTTAAATTAACCGATTTTAGCATTCTTCCTTCTTGACTTGTTTCTTTCACTTTTTTTCCTTGATCTTCCAACTATTCTACTTAACCACTATAATCACATCCTTAACTTAAATAATGATCATATAAAAATGATCCTTAACCTCCTCAAGTTGTCCTCATATTCACATCAAACCGATAAAGTTGTTTTAAGAAGCTTCTCATGCCATGCTCTTCTCATTCAATTAACTTATTTAACCCACTACATCCATGATGCTCATTCTCTTCATGTAGTTGCATCTTCTCATCTTCACTCAAACAATATTAGTGTTGCTTTTTCTCTTCCTTTCATTGCATCTTCAATCATCCAATTAAGCATGCAACTCATGCACATCTTCTCTTTGATTCTTTGTACCACGTGTAACACATTGTTCATTCTTCCACATCTCATGTAAAACCTATGCAACACTTCTATCCAAACTCACAAGAAGATAATTAGTAATACAATAATGTTTGTTATCATCAAAACTTTGCATAACCAAGCATAGGGTCAATATTCTTCCCCTCTTTGATGATGACAAACACACTACACCAATGATGCATATATTTCATCTTCTTATGTAACATATGCACATTTTGCATGTCAAATGTATATGTATCAATGCAATATTTCTCCCCCTTTTAGCATCATAAAAAATATACCAACCTCATCAAGCCAATAGACTTAGCCTCCCCCTAAGTGTGTGCATGTATATTAATGCTACTATTTTTCACTTCTCTTCCTTTGACTTCATCAATGACATCTCATAGTAATACCTAGATCCATATGCTCAACCTAAGCATATCCATGTCCTATCAATGAACATATGCATTTCAACATTGGCATTTTGATTTGCAAGTAATGCTCCCCCTTAACATACGCATCATTTAAAAATGCTACTTTTATCCAAGGTGTTTTGAATGATATGAAGTGATAATCATCATATGCATGTGTTTTGTCAAAAAGATGAACTTAAACTCAAAATCCTTCTTTGTATGCTCAGATACACATACATATATTTCTCTCTTTGGCATTATCAAAATAAATCCATAATTTTGTCAATCACTTGCCAAGGGTAGAGATGCTCAATAAGATATATTAATTTAAGGCCAAAACATCCATTTCTCTCAATTAAGCTAAGGCATGACAAGTAGGAAAACATTCCCAAAAATCTCTCATTTAATAATCACAAGCCATTTTAAAGAGAAATATCAAGAAATATAATGCATCCATTTAAGAGCTTCCAGAAGATATGATAAGCTAATTTTGAAATAGTGTGATTTTCATCGCTAAATGATTATCATTTTCATCCCTAAAAATATAGACATCAATTCTATATTTCCTCCCTCTTTCTATTTCAATAGATGCTCTCCTTCAACTAATGCATATGTCTCATAAAATATCTATCAAATCATAGTCTTAGAGATATATCCATTATAGTATATGATATGAAAGGGAGAGTGGAGATGTGCTTGATTGAGTGTGATGCCTCCCAAGTGTTGCGGGGCTTACAATTTATAGTCACCTCATAATGGATTGAGGTGACTTAATAGTAGTTAAATAGCTAATCTGATAGTCATAACGGATTGGGATGACTTAATAGTAATTAAATAGTTGATCCAGTGAAGGTGGTGACCTTTTCTTAATAGGCGAGGCAGTTACAATGCTCTCCATAAAACTTGGTCAAAGGATGAGGGGAGGGTTGACTCTTTCCAAGGCGGTGAGGATGAGGCCTTGGATGACCTTGCGTGCCCCCTGCTGATGTAGCTCCTTGAGTTTGATGAGCTTGACCACATTGAGCTAGACTTGGCGGATCTCTTAGAGTTGGGCCATTAATTTAGATCAAGCTTATAACATGAGTTAGGCCCTTCGGCCTGGCCTATCATTTGCCCCTCAATGCCCTATGTCCAATGAAACTTGGAGAAGAGGAAATTCAGTCGAATTTGAATTCTGACTCACCAAGGCTCCTTTTCCGCTATGTCCATGTTGCACTTTGACTTGAGGATTGACCTGCCTAGACAGGTCGTGGGGTTCCATTTGCTCGGTCAAGTGGCAGGGGCTTAGGGGCAGTGCCACCGAAACCTAAACGATTTTTTGAATCACATACTAAGACTCCTCTTTCTTTCCTGATATATATTTTAGCTCTTTTGGACATCTCCGTCTATATAAACTCTTCCTTTTATTCCCCCTTTTGAATCTTAGAAGAGCCCTTGGTTTTGAATTGGGCCTTTTTGCTTTTTTCTTCCTTTAATAGGGTTTTAAAAACACTAGGTATAAATATGGTGCTTCTTTCCCATTTCACCCATTCCATAGAAATTTGAAAGAGTGAAGGAGGAGAGCCTCCTTGAAGTCTTTCAAGAAACTTCTTGAGTTAAGCATTTGTGAGGCCATGTCGATTGAGGAAGGAGAATATGGGTTAATACCCATCAATCTTAAAGAGGCTGGAGTTGTCCTAGGAGAGGAGGCACCTACTGCCATGTTCAGGGTCCATGGCCATGCAACATAACAGGTTGGGGTGAGCAGAGGAGGTGCCTTTGCTGGGCATGCATCTAAGGCTAGTGCCTCTGTTGGGAGCGCTTCAATGGTGAGCGGACAATTGGCCGAGGGCTTGGGTAAGCTAGGTAATGGGTTGGGCACCCGTGTTAGTGGGGTAAAGGTGCTTCCCAGTGGAGCGACCAATGGGGCGAGTAGGGGAGATGCCTTTGCTATGCACGAGGACCACCTTGGCCAAGATGCGACACTCAAATTAGGCGAGCAAGCTTGCCTGGGTGAGTAGTCAACACTCAAGCTAGGCAGGCAAGCTTGTTTGGGCACACAGGCAGCACTCAACCTAGACGGGATCGTGCGCGCAGCACAGGCGTGCACAACAAGTAGAAGAGGTGGGCTACTGGGTTACGCGGTGACCCCAGTACTGGGCACCGAGGCTGTTGCTAGTTGGGAGGTCAGGGCTAAGGTAACCCAGTTGGGCGAGGTGCTTGCTACAAAGCTGCTAGGTGAGGGAGATGAGATTGGGTACACAAGGATACGATCTGGGCGAACAGACCAGCCACTGGGCATCACTTGGGCGAGAGCCCACTAGGCGCTGAGCGTGGTTTATCTGCGGGCATTGACTGTGATCGGGTGAACACATCAGGCACTTGTCGTGGTGATGATTCTGGAAATTTGGTGGATGATCTGGCTCATTTGGGTGGAAATCCTCAAAATCAGATTCCTTAGGGCCTCTCCGATGGTGGCTCAGGAAACTCTTCACACCCTTGCAACAAAAAGCACCAAGGTAAGTAGCCCTTGACGATGATGGATCCAAAGTGAGTACTATTTCTAGCACTTTAAATACAAATGTTGATATTTTGTGGATTGTCTCCACCTATCATATTCCTCAAATTGTGCTATGTTGTCGAGTTGAGATGGGCGAGCTCGCTTGCGATAACTCCTTTGATGACCTTGCCACATATGAGGAGATGCTTGAGGCTAGGCTTAGGTTCCCCATGTCTTCTTCTATTTGCTGTGTTTGACATTATTTCTCACTCACACAGGGGTGGTTGTCGCCCAATGTTTGGAGGGTTTTGCTGTGCTTTCTGGTGTTGTGGAGGAAAGTGCACCATGAGGATGCCTCTTGATGAGTGGGTTTTATACCTACGAATTGAGTGCTTTCAGCTTAATGAAATTGTAAGTTGTCAATTATTTTATGTTTATTTTTATTTGTTTTGTGTGTTTGGATGTTATTTTGTAGGAATGACCATTTGGGAGGAAACAAGGTCAAAATTGGAGCCTAAGTATTGGATTTTTGAAGAGGAAGTTAAAGGGCATTTTAATGGAGTATTTATAGCGTACCATTTTATAGTAGTACCTCGGTTTTATGCCTTTTTGACCATGATAAACTTCGAATCTGAAAGAGTTTAAAACATGAAAGTTGTAGATCAGGATGTCTGATGTATTGTGTCAAAATTTCAGCTCAATTAGACGGTTGTATCAAAAGTTATGACAATTATACGAAGACTGATCCGGAGCAGGCAGAATACAAGGAGGCGCGCCCCAGCGCCAATTTGGGCGCCCCAGTGCCCAAACATTGTCCAAATCAGCGCCCCTGCGCCATTTTGAGCGCCCCTGCACATGTGTTAATCCATGACGCAAATTTTGACTTGTTTTGGACCCAAAAATTTAACCCTAAGGCTATATATATACTAGGGTTTGTATGGGGATGGAAGATTCTGACTTTTGGGGGCTGAAAACATCTAGAAAAACCAAGGAATTGGAAGAAAATTGAAGACAAGAATCAAAAGAATCAACACGAAGAATTGGTTTTGAAGGCTAGAAAAGGATTGAAGATTGCACTTAAGTTTTCATTCTTTTCTCTTACCTTTACTTCTTGATTTTCTAAGATGTTGTTTAATTTTAGAATGATGTCTTTCAATTACATTATGAACTAAATTTTTATTAAGATTGCAATGGAACCTATGTCTAGTTAAATTAATCTACTCTCGTTTCTAGTTCTTATTGATCTTATATGAGTTATTTGTCATATTTTGTGATTAATATATGATTGTGTGGCCAACAATTAGTTTGATAACCTAGATGAAATTTGGAGATGAATTCTAGATTTAGATCTGAATATGATGACATGCGTCTAATTTATTCTTCTTAGGATTGAATAGCTGGGTTTGTGTATAGGATAGGAATATACCTATATGCCGTGTGTAGCTTTTATGAGAGTTTGAACTTAATGAATCTGTTCCAACTTATTTTGCATAGGAATATAGTAATTTAATTGGGATATATAATTTTATCTAACTATCGGAAGAGGTTTGATAAATAACTTTGAGTTCTCAGCTAACAACTTATTTTGATTAATTAACTGGAAAGAGAGTTAGAGGGATTTATACGAAACATTAGGGGAAGTTGTAATCTTAACTTCTTTTCTCTAGTAAATTCAACCCTTGATTGTTAAGTTTAGATTTAGTTTTAATTAGTAATTCCATAGCTCAATTTCAATTGTTTAAATAAAATTGAATTGATATAAATTTAGTACTTGGAATTTATTACTAATAATTCTCCGTGGGAACGATACTCTACTTATCACTTTATTACTTATTGATCGTGTATACTTGCATGTAAATTATCAATACCAAATTCGGACAACACCTCTCCTATTGAGTTTCATGCAGCTTATACTTTGAGCGAGACTTCTGCTCCTAATCGGGGCTAGTACTACTTTACTATGAGAGACAAGTTGATTACCAGATTGCGCTCCAACTGTCATAGTTGGAAGTCTCGCTTTATTTTTGTCGGTGGAGAGTTGGCTGTAGAGGCCGATAGGGCTTTGATACCAACATGATGGGGTTTTCTGTTTTACTTGGTGTTTTTCATCTAGATAACCCTTTACTTCTTTTGCAGCAGTAGATAGAAAGGTGATTGGGTCCCGTCTTTTTGGTAAGAGTCCTCTCTCTCTTAAGGTGGTGAGGATGGGCGATGCCTCCCAAGTGACCTCTTCAATGGTGCCACTCGAGGTGAGCTCTCCTTAAGCAACCCCTTTAGTGGTACCTCGGGCGTGCTTGACCCCTCCAGTGGTGCCTCCTCAGTCGGAGACTTCTTTAGTTGCATCTCCTACTCTAGAGTCCCCCTTGTTGGCCACACCTTCTATCCCCCATTCATCCACTCCTCTTGGGGGAACTTCTAGAAGGGAATTAATTCAGATCAACTCCATATTAGGTAATGCGCCAGTCATAAAGGATCGACTTGGGAGGTTTGGGTTTCCCAACGATGTTAGCGAGATTAGTGCTCTAGGCACCGAGGGAATCATCAACACTTTTTTGGAAGGCCTGGCTTAGGTAAGGGTCTGTTGTTTCCCTTTCTCTAGACCTCTCTTAAGCTTCTGACATTCTTTTGACTTCTATCTTTCTTCAGGCTTCTACTGCATCTATGTGTTTACTTTCAAGGGCCTATTGCCATGGCCAGCTGAAGTAGAATCATGAAGTTGTGAAAAAGGAGCTCTTTGCTACTTAGGGGAGGATCATTGAGCTTGAAGCTACTGATAGAACTTCTGAGGCTGAGCTTGTGATGAACCATGAGAGGGCGACTAAGCCTGAGACTGAGCTTTCGGTGACCCATGAGAGGGTGGCCAAGCTTGAGGTTGAGCTTGCGGTAACCTGTGAGAGGGACACACTCAAAGAGGCTGAACTTGTGGAGGCCCGTGAGAGGGCCTTGTTCAGAGAGCCTGAGCTTGTAGAGGCCCATGAGAGGGCCATGCTCAAAGAGGCTGCCAAAGAGAAAGAGATGAAGGCAAATCATGAGAGAGCTTCTTAGGCTAAGGAGAGGGCTATTATGGCTGAGAGTGAGTTAGAGAATGGACTTGTAGATGCCTTTATTGATGGTTATGGGGAACTCCGAGGAAAGATTTTTGTTGTTTTCCCTGATATTGTTGTCTCAGGCTTCTTGCCAACTGAGGCGCTTGATGATAGTGATGGAGGCTCTGACGATGCTGAGGGTGTTGATGATGAGGAGGAGGACGACTATGAGAGTAATTAGAGTGCTAGGGACTTTTGCTTTTTTTTTTTTTAGGAAAGCATTTTGTAGCCCTATTTTTGTAAAAGTGGTTTTTTCCACTGATGCTCCTTTGAAGTTGAATAAAAAAAATGCAAAAATCTTTTGGAGTAAATCTAGAAAGTTTTATTTATTCACTGCTCATGTCAAGTAATATTGGGTAATTGCCCCCAAAAAAGTACAAAAAATAAAAACCAAGTCCCCAACTTTTCTAGTCTCTTAAGGTGTCACTGATAGTACCTTTTCAGGTGCTCAGCATTCCATGGGTGCGGTAAGGCCTTTCCCTCAGAATTCTGGATCTTGTAAGTGCCTCACCTCACCACTTCTATTATGAGGTGGGGTCTTTCTCAGCTTGGTCCCAACTTCCCTTCTCATGAATCCTTTGTGGCAAGGATCACTTTCCTGAGGACCAAGTCTCCTGGTTGGAAGGAACGAGGCCTCACCCTCAAGTTATAGTACTTTGCGATGCGATGCTTTTACTCCGTGTTGTAGACTACATCCATCTCCCTTGCCTCCTCTACCAAGTCGAGGTTGATGCGGAGTCCTTCCTTATTGGTGATGGGGTTGTGGTGTTGGACCCTTAGAGAGTGCACCCCGATCTCTACAAGGATGACTACCTCAGTTCCAAAGGCAACGGAGAAAGGGGTTTCTCCAGTTGGAGTTATTGGCATAGTCGAGTAGGCTCATAGTACACTTGGGAGTCTGTCAACCCAAAGACCTTTCACTCTTTTGAGCCTTGTCTTTAGGTTGTGTAACATGGTTCTCTCAATGACTTCTGCTTGTCCGTTTGCCTGCGGGTGCGCTGGGCTAGAATGGAGCTGCTTTATTTGAAGGTCAGAGTAGAAGGAGTTTAGGAGCTTGTTGTTGAATTGCTTGACGTTGTCACTGACAATGGCGTATGGTATCCCAAAGTGACATACCAGGTTTTTCTAGATATAATCTTTCGCCTTTGCATTTGTTGTCTTTGCTAAAGGTTCAGCCTCCACCCATTTAGTGAAGTAGTCCACCGCTACCACCACGAACTTGCACTATCCTCTGCTGAGAGGTAGGGGGCCTAAGATGTTGATGCCCCATTTGGAGAAAGGCCATGGACTTGTGATGACCATGAGTTCCTTTGACGGTTGCTTAGGCACAGTGGTAAAACGCTGACACTTGTCGCACTTTTGTCAAATTCCTGGGCATCCCTCACCATGCTAGGCCAAAATTAGCCTTGTCTGAGCGCCTTGTGGGCGAGGAAGC